AGCGCTTGTCAATAAATTTAATCCTTGCCTATGGGCATTCATTACACAAAAATCGGCGGAAAAGCACCGATACATGTTTGTAATATATAGAATAGAGACATGGCAAGAAGTATTTGTTGAGATAAAATTTAGTCAGATTTTAAATTCGTTGTTTGACCTACCCACGAAAACCACGAAAATTCGTGTCCAACGAAAAATAAATTCTTTAATCAATTAAAAAAAAACATCATTTCACTGTAAATGTTTTATTTATCATAATTAATTCACACAAAAATGTCTAAAAACAAATTATTTTAGTACCTTTAGTTTCATCTTTGTAACATTAGATAGATGGAAGTGTGCTTTAATTGAAATTGTCGCGAGACACATGAACTTAAACCTGAAGACATCACGATGCTTATACAACATTTTCTTACGGGGACAAACAGTATTATTGTGTTCTTTCTACAAAAAATATAATTTTGATATTCTTGATACATGTTTATAACACCAGTAATTGATTATGTTTTTCCTTAAAGGCCCATTATGCCTTAGAAAAGCTTTTTATCTTCCTTTCTCAAAAGCTTTTCAATTTTGGTGTTATTTTATGGTATCAAAGCGTTTTTCATTGGCCAATTATCTGCTTATTTTGGCAATAAGAACAGTTCTTGTGAATATATATTTTGTATGGAAGGAAGATAAAATACTACTTTGCTATATTGATTACAAAGTATTTTAAATAAGATCTTTCAAATCCACTAGCTGTGTCATTTGCTCTCTCACTATTTAGTAGATATAACATGTTTTTGGATATCAGTACTTTGAGAATGTTCCAAAACGTGTGCTGCATAATATGAGCTCAGTATCATGAGACAGAGCACTGACTGTGTAAGTGACAGGAATGGTGCATCAGCTCCTGACAGTTTGAACAATCTGGATGTTTTATTTATTATCCTTGAAAATCGTTCACCAGAAAATCATTGTTGTGCTTCTTGTAGTTTTAGTTTCTTCTATTTGACTTATTTTCCTGTTGGGTGGTTCTAGTATTCCTTCGTGACTAAATACCACCCTAAAGGATATTTTGCCTGCTTTAAGATTTCTCCTTTGGCGGCTTTTCTCTGATATGAAGTCTTCATTACCCTTAAGAAAATCAATTATTAAGTTCAACACAATTTTCATATTTAGGCTACACACATTATTTCATACTTTGCTTTTCATGGAGTGGCGCGATAGTTACATTAAAGATCCCTTGATTACCGTCTTGTGAATTTATCTACGGATGTTTAAAATTTAAAATATCACTTTTATTATAATTTCACTACATTTGTATTTAGCCTTAGCCTTTGGTAAAGGACGTTTATATATCACTGCTGTCCATAAATAGGCAAAATCTAACCGAGCGTAAATGTGCCATATTGTGTGTTCTTAAAGCTTTCCCTTTTTCATTCTATTCGCTTGTACGATTTTGAGCATTTTTTTAAACAATGCTAGTTAAAGGTGTGAATAGGAAAAATACAATACCTAAAGATCTTTAAGTAAACAGTAAAGTTGAAAATGTTGCTGACTTGGTTTGATTGAGTCTGTTCATGGATGGTCCTGTAAAGTGCAAACTATCGTGAAATTTACTTCGTCGGAGGATCAAGCAAGTGACTCCTTGATTTCTTATCCGATGCTCTTCCTATAGAGCTAGACCGGCTTACCACAGATGGACATAACGATTGACTTAATTATAAGGCATTTATTAACCTTCGTTGTTGTTAGCGTGCCCTTAATCTATCTTTGAAAACTGTACTTGCATATACTAGTAACCTGCATATTAAGTAAACCTAAGCTTGCAGGCTCTCAGATTATGTTGTTTACACTTGGAAACATCTCATAATTATAGTGAAGTTTGCATCTTGAGGTCGTACAATATGAATGGAGTGGTTGAAAGGAAAGCAAAAATTACCTGATATGATGCTCTATGAATGATGATGATGATGATGATGATGATGATGGGATGATGAAATACGTCAAAAACAGAAGATTTATATATAGTGGAAGAATACGATGATTATAGAAACAATCGAACGTGTCGAGAGTGTTACAATTATAAACACAATTTTTCTAATACTCGGGCGTAAAGTTATTTTAAAAATGCATCTTTGACTGAATGGATACTTACATAACAAGAAAAAACCGTCAAAGAACTATGTTGATAATCAAGCATAACTTTCATTTTTTTCTAGTTGTCAAAATGATCTTCTTAATTTGCCACAAAATTATGCCTTGTTAGTTCAGTTGGTCCAAGAATAACATGATTGATGATTAAACTACTACCATGAATATATCTTTATGACATTTTACCTTGAAACATTTAGGTTAACCTTGACCTTTTATGTTCCAACATGTTCTCACTACCTATGTAAAGCAAAACTAATTTCACAACTGTAAATAATTGGGAAATATATGGACTGGACATAATTATTAATGCAGTATCACGACTTTTGACATTCATTCGTGACCTTGACCTTTGGAATAAAGAACCGAAAAATGTTTCCGATTTACAAATTTATGTACAAATTATGACAATTGACAATAATGACCTTAACCTTTGAGCCAGAGACTTCACTATTTCTTGTTGAAACATGTCGGCCTTAAAATGCAACATATCTTTGCAACGCAGAATTGTTGACCAGACAAGAGTATCAATTATTTCATACATGAAATGAAAAAACTAGGGGAAAGACACAGTCATCTATTAATCATATTATGAATTGGAAGTACATGTGTGACCTTGAGATTTAAAGCTAAATACTTGATTTTTGAATGTGACACATCAATATAATGTTCAAAATTATTTTTATCAAGTTATTCCAAAAATCACCCAGGAATGACATAATTATTGACTTGACATGACCGTCAGTGCACAATTTAATTTTCCATATTTGACAACAGTATGGATCACACTAAAAGTGAGGAATAGGAAGAAGGGTTGGCACTATAAAATTATTATTCCTCACAAATATTTGTTGAGGGGCATGAAGTTGCCTTAATTTTAATATTAAATTTGACTGTGCAGAATGTATTAATGCATCTATACTTTATTAGCTCGACTATTCGATAAGAATAAGTAGAGCTATTGTAGTCACCCGAGCGTCGGCGTCGGCTTAACCACTTATGTTAATTTTTTTGTAATACCTCAAATATTTTCAAAGTCCATTGACATATGGCTTTGAAACTTTGCGAACTTGTTAACCATCATGACCCAAACCTGTAGACAGGAGGAGGTAACTCTATGAAGCATTTTGACAGAAAAATGCCCCCTTTTCAACTTAGAATTTACATTAGGTTTGCATACCACCTCAGATATGTTCTTATTCTATTGCCATCTGGATTTGAAACAATTTGAAATTTTATTGTCTCCAAGGACTAAAACTGTAATATGGATTTAAAGAAAAAAATTGCCATTTTTTTAACTCAGAAAATTTTACTTTATCAAGGCTCTTTTACTATGAAGCACTTAGAATAGTCGAGTGTTGCTGTCCTACCGACAGCTTTTATATTGATATATGCATTTAAATTGTGCTTTAAGTTAAACTGATATGTTCATTAAAGCTTAAACACCTTTTGCTTTTCACTATTGCAATTTTCTACGACTGTGATTTTATTCAGTATGACATTGGCACAAAACTTCATCAATGAACACTCCTTTCAACAATGACAATACCACTTCTTGTTTTTGTCATAATAGATAATTATAGTAGTCAAATTTACAAGAACTGTCGGAGGACAGTAATGCTTGACTATTCGAAAAAAAAGTGTCATAAGGGTTATTTATTAAGTATAATAATGCTTACCTATATGAATAAAATTGTCCGAAAAGGTACAAAAGCTTGTTATTTAGATGTATGTTTTATCAAGTAAATCACTACTTTGTTAAAATGAATGCATAAAATTGTCCCAAAAAAGGCACAAACCCTTCAGTAGTTACGGAGATAACAGCTTACAAACAAAAACTTTACCATGAATTTCTAAGTTAAAATAGGGGAGAAAAATCAGCCAAAATGCAAAATATAATTATGGATCTTGGTCAGTGACAAACAATTATGACCCTTAATGCATATGTGAAGTTTTAAATAAATATCTTTTATTGAGATAAATTATGTAAAACCTGCATGTAAACAATAACCAAGAGAGTAAGTAGAAAAGGGGAGATAAATCAGGCTAAATACAAGATACAGTTATGGAACTTGCTCAGTGACATACAATCATGACCTGAGTGCATATGTGAAGTTTTAAATATATATCTTTGATAGTTATCGAGATATTTAAAAATTACATGTAAATATAGGGGCAAAATTCTGTAAATATTGTAGGCAGAGTTATCCAACTTGTCAATCTGATGTACATTGTTACTATAAATAAGTATTGTGATTTTCAATTGAATATCTTAAGCAATTATTGAGATATTTGACTTAACAAAAAAACTTTAACCAAAATTTCTAAGTAAAAGGGGCATAACTCTGTAAATATTGAAGGAAGAGTTATCCAACTTGTCAGTCTGATGTACATTGTTACTATATATAAGTATTGTAAGTTTCGATTGAGATATTTGACTTTACAAAAAACTTTAATCAACGCCGACGCGGACGCCGACGCCGGGGCGACTGCAATAGCTCTCCATATTCTTCGAATAGTCGAGCTTAAAATGATATTGATGATGTGTTAACCAAAACTGAAGTTTATACCAATATATTTATATATATAAACTCTTTTTAAAAAAGTATTTATCCATACAATATTTTTGTTTTCAAAACATATTTAATGCCATCACATAATTCTTTAACAGATATAATGGACCAAAAGAGCAATTTGATAAACATAATATTCAATGGTTTTTGAGTATTTTTTACACACAACTCGATATATTTTAAAAAGGGGAAATACACTCGTTCCCCTTTTTAAGGCACTGTTTTTACATTATTTTCAGCTAAAGTAATGGTATTGTTTTGTGAAAAGTAAAAGACAAACAGCTAAAGTAAACATCCAAATTTTATTTTTTGTTTCTTTTGCAAATGTTTTCGGGGGAACCATTCCCCCGAAGAACAAAAGCCATGTACAGAATATAACATGATTCGATAAATAAAAAGCAATTGTTCAGTAATAAGAGATACATTATGCTTACGGGGGAACCATTCCCTCATCAAAATAAAAAGCAAATTTCAAAACTTATCTTTAACACATACTCTAAAGTGGAACCATTCCCCCTTAAAAAAATAGATATAACAATTTGATCAAATAAAATGCAATAATTAAGAAATAAGAGCCATGTAACCGATAAAAGGGAACCATTCCCCCATCAAAAAATTAAACTTCAAAACACATTTTCTAAAGTGGAACCGTTCCCCCATAACAAATTAACAGATATAACAATTGGATAGAATAAAATGCAATAATTTAGAAATTCAGAGCCATGTTACAAGGAAGAGGGAACCGTTCCCTCATCGAAATAAAAAATAAATTTCAAAACTTATCTCTTACCCATTTTCTAAAGTGGAACCGTTCCCCCTTAACAAAACAGAAATAACAATTTGATAGAATAAAATGCAATAATTTAGAAATTTAGACCAAGGTTACCCGTAAGAGGGAACCGTTCCCTCATCAAAATAAAAAATAAATTTCAAAACTTATCTCTTACCCATTTTCTAAAGTGGAACCGTTCCCCCTTAACAAAACAGGTTCAAAAATTTGATAGAATAAAATGCAATAATTTAGAATTTTAGAGCCATGTTACCGGTAGGAGGGAACCGTTCCCTCATCGAAATAGAAAATAAATTTCAAATCTTATCTATAACACATTTTCTAGAGTGGAACCGTTCCCCCTTAACAAGACAGATATAACAATTTGATAGAATAAAATGCAATAATTTAGAAATTCAGAGCCATGTTACCAGTAAGAGGGAACCGTTCCCTCATCGAAATAAATTTTTTTTTTTAAAAACTTAAGTATGACACATTTTCTAAAGTGGAACCGTTCCCCCTTAACAAAACAGAAATACAATTTGATAGAATAAAATGCAATAATTTAGAAATTTGGAGCAAGGTTACCCGTAAGAGGGAACCGTTCCGTCATCAAAATAAAAAATAAATATCAAAACTTATCTCTTACCCATTTTCTAAAGTGGAACCATTCCCCCTTAACAAAACAGATTAAAAAATTTGATAGAATAAAATGCAATATTTTAGAAATTTAGAGCAAGGTTACCCGTAAGAGGGAACCGTTCCCTCATCGAAATAAAAAACAAATTTCAAAACTTATCTAGAACACATTTTCTAGAGTGGAACCGTTCCCCCTTAACAAAACAGATATAACAATTTGATAGAATGAAATGCAGCTATTTAGAAATTTAGAGCCAGGTTACCGGTAGGAGGGAACCGTTCCCTCATCCAAATAGAAAATAAATTTCAAATCTTATCTATAACACATTTTCTAGAGTGGAACCGTTCCCCCTTAAAAAAACAGATACATGTATAACAATTTGATAGAATAAAATGCAGTAATTTAGAAATTCAGAGCCATGTTACCAGTAAGAGGGAACCGTTCCCTCATCGAAATATTTTTTTTTTTTTCAAAAAACTTAAGTATGACACATTTTCTAAAGTGGAACCGTTCCCCCTTAACAAAACAGATATAACAATTTGATAGAATAAAATGCAATAATTTAGAAATTCAGAGCCATGTTACCAGTAAGAGGGAACCGTTCCCTCATCGAAATAATTTTTTTTTCTAAAAACTTAAGTATGACACATTTTCTAAAGTGGAACCGTTCCCCCTTAACAAAACAGATATAACAATTTGATAGAATAAAATACAATAATCTAGAAATTTAGAGCAAGTTTACCCGTAAGAGGGAACCGTTCCCTCATCGATATAAAAAACAAATTTCAAATCTTATCTATAACACATTTTCTAGAGTGGAACCGTTCCCCCTTAATAAAACAGATATAACAATTTGATAGAATAAAATGCAATAATTTAGAAATTTAGAGCCATGTAAATGGTAAGAGGGAACCGTTCCCTCATCAAAATAAAAAAATAAATTTCAAAACTTATCTCTTATCCATTTTCTAAAGTGGAACCGTTCCCCCTTAACAAAACAGATTTAAAAATTTGATAGAATAAAATGCAATAATGTAGAATTTTAGAGCCAGGTTACCAGTAAGAGGGAACCGTTCCCTCATCAAAATAAAAAATAAATTTCAAAACTTATCTCTTATCCATTTTCTAAAGTGGAACCGTTCCCCCTTAACAAAACAGATATAACAATTTGATAGAATAAAATGCGATAATTTAGAAATTTTGATCAAAGTTAAAGATTGCGGACGGCAATGGAAAAGCTGCCATTGACTGTAACAATACCTCTATTTTTTTCTTTGAAAAAAAATGACAAGCTAAAAATGATGAAAATACACTAATTTGACATATATTTTTAGTTCAAGACCATTATGAGGCAAATTTAGTTTCAATTGCTAAATTTGAGCCACAAATAAATCACTAAATAAGAAACATTTTGACTGATCTATCATATGAAAAACAAATTTGATTAAATGCCTTGGAACTAAATTTCAATGCAATGAGATACATCTGTCTATTAAGTTTCACTTCAATAGCTCCAATAGGTAGACTGTGAGGCAGACAGACAGACAATCTGATTCTAGTATATCGCACTTATCATCATAGTTGTGTAGGGTTTATAAAAATAATCTAGAACAAGCCTCTTCCATATGTTATAGCACAATTTTGTTTGTTCATTCAACAGTAATTTGCTTGTACTGGTTTGAAAGCCTGTGTGTATAACAATCACTCTCAACATCTCTCTTCACAGCCATACAGGTATTTTTAATAAACAATTTTTAGCTACCAAACGAAGTTACAACAGAATATGCCCATGTAAAATCCAATTATTTTCTGCCATTTTGAGTCTTTTTCACAACAGTATCTGAAAATAAATAAGGATTCATTTAACTTTTTTCATTTCATTATTTGCTTGCATCTATCATTTCACAAAATAATCTTTTCAAATTCTGGGACTTTGTAAGATACAAGTGAATGACTTAAAAAAAACAGATAAATACATGTATATAAGGCCAAAAAAACAAAAACAACTTGTTTCTGGTCACAGTCCCCTAAATGAACAAGGTCAGTAGGTAGAGATTTTTTGGGGGGTTGACCGATGACATATATGCAAAGTGCTGCATTAAATATAAATGGATCCCATGTCATTCTGACATATTGGTCAGGGGTAAAATATACAGTCGGTCGGCAGACCAGAAACAAGATTTTTTTTTTGGCCTAAGCAAAATACTGACAAAATGTTTTAAATTAGGATCATAAAATTTTGTTGCATGTTAAGAATAATTCTTATATTACTTTTATTTTTTGTGTGAGATTGGTTCAAAACAGGAATCCTTTACAGAATTCTGTAAGATGTACTAAGTTCAGGCTCACCAACTTTATATAATTATACATTGAGTGCATTGGATTTTGCTGTGATGTAGGGGAAATTATGACAAAACAGAAGTATCTTTAAAAAGATACTTGGACAAGAATAAACTGTTTATTACTTGTCTTTTTAAAACCACTTGCCCCTTACCACTGTGTGTTCGAATCCCGACAGGGACTTTGGATTATTTCATGTAAGGAAGCTATTCAGCTAGCTTACGGAACGTCGGTGGCTTTACTCAGGTGCCCGTTCATGCTTGAAAAAATGCACGGAGGGGCACCTGAGGTCTTCCTCCACCAGTAACGCTGGAAGGTCGCCAAATGACCTATAATGTGTCGGTGTAATGTAAAAAACCCAAATCAAACAAGAGAGCCGGGATGATGGCCCTGAAATCGATCACCTGTATGTAGGCCCCCTGGGCGGGGCCAATTTTGTCCCAAGGGCTTTTATTTGAACAAACTTGGTATTCACTCACTAGAAGATGTTTCATGCTTAATATCTAAACTCTAGCTCTTTGAGTTTTTTAAAAGAAGACTTTTTAAGTTTTTACTATATACATATAAGGAAAATCAATGATCCCCGGGCCAGGGCCAATTTTGACCCCAGGGCCCTGATTTGAACAAATTTGGTAGACACCCACTAGAAGATGTTTCATGCTTTATATCTAAGCTCTAGCTATTTGGGCTTCTTAAAAGAAGATTTTTTAAGTTTGAACTATACACAATTAAGGAAAATCAATTACCCCCCCCCCCCCGGGCAGGGCCAATTTTAACCCCAGGGCATTTATTTGAACGAACTTGGTAGACACTGACTAGATGATGTTTCATGCCAAAGATTTAAGCTCTAGCTTTTGGGGTTTTCTAAAAGCAGCTCTAGCTTTTGGGGTTTTCTAAAAGCAGATATTTTAAGTTTTTACTTTCCGTTGCCATGGCAACCAGAGTTCTGCTTAGAATTAAATTCTTTGAACAATTTTAATGTTTACTACCAAAGGAACATTCCTGTGAAGTTTGGATGAAATTGGCTTAGCGGTTTATGAGGAGATGTTTAAATAAAAGTTTACAGATGGACGGACGCCAGACGAAAAGCGATCACAAAAGCTCACCATGTCACTTTGTGACAGGTGAGCTAACAAACAAATCAAACTTGTCTTTTTGTATGCACTTGTTTTTCTGGGAAGTTTATTGTCTCATCTTTTTAGAGTGTCATTTATAACTCAGTAAATTCTACTATTGAATAAGATATTCACTAGAGAATTAATGAACATTTTTAAAGCAGTGAAAAATATTTATTGGGAAGAAGTTCACAGATCTCAAATATCTGAGAAATTTAAACTAGACAAGCGTTTTTCAATGACCTCGAAGTGTGACCTTGACCTTTGACCTTCAGACCTGGTTCATGTGCATGACACTGCTTCTCATAATGGTGACAGTTCTATAAAGTTTCATTAGAATCACCCCATATGTGTAGGAGATATGCTCTGGACAAAAGCACAAGTTTCTCATCTTTAGTGACCGTGACCTTGCATAATTATGTTAATCTAAATCACATGTTTCGCACCTGTAGTCATGCTAATGACCATTTGTGTTTCAATCCCTCAATAAATGATAACAAAATGGTCCAAATACAAATTTAAATTTTTTTTATTAAAACTTTGACCCATATGTGTCAACTTGACCTTGGTCACAGGGATCTAAAATTTTCCACCAGATACTCCGCCTCACAATGGTGATATTTGCGTGAAATTATATTGAAATCCCTTTATGCATGTAGAAGTGTTGCTACAAACAAGTGTTTTTCAGTTACTAGTAAGTGTAACCTTGACCTTTGACCTAGAGACCTGGTTCATGTGTGCGACACAGTTTCTCATACTGGTGAACATTTCTATGAAGTTTCATTAAAATTCCCCAATGAGTGTAGAAAAATTATGTTCCGGATAAAAATAAAATAGCGTCTGTCCAGCCGCCCGCCAGGGGGGAAACTAATATATAAAAGAGAAAAAAAGAAGATATCATGGTAATTTTAAAACTGACATATATATAGCCAGTTCTACCTGTAGGGATATCTTTATCTTTGCCAAATGAAAAATAACAAATGTTAGTCATTGAAACTGCAAATTTCACTTCTATGCATATTTAATAACTATAAACAAATATGTTGATGTTTTTTAGAACTGTTTTGTGTGGGACATGTAGCTTTAACTAATTTATTTTGAAATTCTATCATACATGTAGAAGTAAGCACAAGCACACATTTTTTAGCCTTTTAAACGTTCTTTGTAGAGTTACTTACATTTTCTTTTTTTGAGTGGCCTCTGTTTATTATCACCAGTCTTCTCTAATCACATTCCCCTTGCTCACATGTAGTTTACTGGCTAAGATAATAGACCCTGAAATTTTAAGCAAAAGTATTACCATTTCTAGTCTAAAAGCCATTACACTAAAACCAGATCCCACTAACTAGTTTTATTATGTTGTTAAAAATAATAGAAAAATAATAAAGTGAAAACAAGCAATTATCATGGTATATGCAAGCAATCCATTATTAAAGTCCCCTACCGGTTAGAACCCCAGCAACATTATGATGGGTCATTGGCCATTCAATTATGCCACTGAATGAATGAATGATATGAATGAACTTTAAGCTTTCAAGTTCTTAGTTTGTCTATATCTTAGTAATGTGTTAAGTTTCCAAGCCTCCCTTGTAAGGAAATCTGTGGAGAAATAAGTAAGTTAAGGAATGAATAAGAAAAATTCAATGTTTAAGGAGATAATTCTGGCAACATGTATGCTAGATTTGTAACCCTTGTCATATGATGTGGGAGTTTGAAGTAAATGCTATAAGAAATGAAAAAGTTTAAGTAAAAAATAATTTATTTCTAGCAAAAAATCTCAAGTGCATGGGACCTAATTCTGGAAATAGTCAAGCTATAGTATTGAACCTTCTCACAAATGATTTATTTGAGTGATAATAAGAAACATATGTATTAAGTTTGAAGTAGAAACATAAATATATAAAAAAGTTATAAAACTAGAACTCCGTGAGTCGGATGTGTCGCCTTGTGAACAATAAAGTTTAGGAGAAATGGCCAGAGCAAAAAATGAAATTATGAAAATTAACAATTTTTTAAGGGTTATAACTCAAACTAGAAATGTGTCATCATGCCACGGATGCCCCCGCATGCAGCCAAAATTTCAAATGTTATAATATTTAGTTCCAAATTTGTTTGCACAAATTATTTTTTTCATTCTAAGTTCAAAGCCCTTAAAACTTTTCAATGTTAACACAAACCATTTTTATACAATGTTCAAGGCACTGAAATTATTCAGTCTTAACCTTTTAAAAATAGCATATTGCATATTTGTAGCCAACATAATGGCTATATACATTTCCACAAAAGTATGAGTGCTGAAAGTGAAAGTTCAAAATTTTTCCAACATTCAGGAAAGATAAGTTTGTCTAAAATCATTGAACCACGACCAAATTCAAACTTAAACTGCTTATTCCTAAGATGTATCTATATTATTTTCAAAGTGAAAGGGACATAACTCTGCCAAAAAATCATCGAACCATGACCAAATTCCAACTTGACCTGCGCATTCCTTTGACATATCCATATGTCAATTTTGAGGTGAATATGTAACACTGTTGGGTTGATAATGAACAGAAACTGTAAATTTCATATCATTTTCAAAGTGAAAGGGGCATTACTCTGCCAAAAATCATTGAACCATGACCAGATTCGAACTTGGTCTGCGCATTCCAAAAACATATCCATATGTCAAATTTGAGTTGAATGTGTAATATTGTTGGGGAGATAATAAATGGAAACTGAAAATTTCATACATGTATTATTTTTAAAGTGAAAGGGGCATAACTCTGCCAAAAATCATCGAACCATGACCAAATTTGATATTGACCTGCGCATTCCTTTGACGTATCAATATGTCAAATTTGAGTTGAATGTTTAATACTGTTGGGGAGATTATAAACAGAAACTGAAAATTTCATATTATTTTCAAAGTAAAAGGGGCATAACTCTGCCAAAAACCATGACCAAATTTGAACTTGACCTGCGCATTCCTTTGACGTATCGATATGTCAAGTTTGAGCTAAATGTGTTGTACGATTGGGGAGATAATGAATGGAAACTGAAAATTTCATATTATTTTCAAAGTGAAAGGGGCATAACTCTGCCAAAAATCATTGAACCATGACCAAATTTGAACTTGACCTGCGCATTCCTTTGACGTATCCATATGTCAAGTTTGAGTTGAATGTGTTGTACCATTGGGGAGTTAATGAATGGAAACTGAAAATTTCATATTATTTTCAAAGTAAAAGGGGCATAACTCTGCCAAAAATCATCGAACCATGACCAAATTTGAACTTGACCTGTATTTTCTCATGACATATCAATATGTCAAGTTTGAGTTGAATGTGTTGTACCGTTGGGGAGATAATGAACGGAAACTGAAAATTTCATATTATTTTCAAAGTAAAAGGGGCATAACTCTGCCAAAAATCATCGAACCATGACCAATTTCGAACTTGACCTGTATTTTCTCATGACAAATCCATATGTCAATTTTGAATTGAATGTTTTGAACCGTTTGGGAGATAATGAACGGAAACTGAAAATTTCATATTATTTTCAATGTAAAAGGGGCATAACTCTGCCAAAAATCATCGAACCATGACCAAATTTGAACTTGACCTGTATTTTCTCATGACATATCAATATGTCAAGTTTGAGTTGAATGTGTTGTACCGTTGGGGAGATAATGAACGGAAACTGAAAATTTCATATTATTTTCAAAGTAAAAGGGGCATAACTCTGCCAAAAATCATCGAACCATGACCAATTTCGAACTTGACCTGTATTTTCTCATGACATATCCATATGTCAAATTTGAGTTCAATATGTGCAAGGGTTATTAAGATAATGAACGGAAACTGATGATGACGGAAGGACGGAAGGACGGAATGACAGAATGACGGAATGACGGAATGACGGAACAGGGTAACACTATATGCCCCTGCCATTATATTCTTAAAAATAAGAAGTGAAGAGCAGCAGTTTCTGTGCAGTGCACTTCTTATCAATAAGATCTATCATCTTATGAAGTTTCAAGTCCATAGTTTTTATAAAAGCAACCCTTTTTCAAGGTTTTTACAAGGCGACACAAAAACATCATTTTTTTCATGAACATTCTAAGGTCAAGGGGGGGGGAATCTTGACAGCTCTCCATATTCTCCCATAAAAATATAGTAGTTATACATGTATCTGTTTTGTTAAGGGGAACGGTTCCACTTTAGAAAGTTTGTTATAGATAAGTTTTGAAATTTATTTTTTATTTTGAGGAGGGAATGGTTCCCTCTTACTGGTAACCTGGCTCTAAATTTCTAAATTATTGCATTTTATTCTATCAAATTGTTATATCTATTTTGTTAAGGGGGAACGGTTCCACTTTAGAAAATTGTTAAGTGATAAGTTTTGAAATTTATTTTTTATTTTGATGAGGGAACGGTTCCCTCTTACTGGTAACCTGGCTCTAAATTTCTAAATTATTGCATTTTATTCTATCAAATTGTTATATATATTTTAAGGGGGAACGGTACCACTCTAGAAAAAGTGTTACAGATAAGTTTTGAAATTTATTTTTTATTTCGATGAGGGAACGGTTCACTCTTACCGGTAACATGGCTCTAAATTTCTATATTACTGCATTTCATTCTATCAAATTGTTATACATGTACCAGTTTTGTTAAGGGGGAATGGTTCCACTTTAGAAAATTTGTTATAGATCAGTTTTGAAATTTATTTTTTTATTTTGATGAGGGAACGGTTCCCTCTTACCGATAACCTTGCTCTAAATTTCTAAATTATTGCATTTTATTCTATCAAATTGTTTTATCTGTTTTGTTAACGGGGAACGGTTCCACTTTAGAAAATTGGTAAGTGATAAGTTTTGAAATTTATTTTTTATTTTGATGAGGGAACGGTTCCCTCTTACTGGTAACATGGCTCTAAATTTCTAAATTATTGCATTTTATTCTATCAAATTGTTATATCTGTTTTGTTAAGGGGGAACGGTTCCACTTTAGAAAATGTGTCATAGATAAGTTTTGAAATTTATTTTTTTATTTTGATGAGGGAACGGTTCCCTCTTACCAGTTACATGGCTCTAAATTTCTAAATTATTGCATTTTATTCTATCAAATTGTTATATCTGTTTTGTTAAGGGGGAACGGTTCCACTTTAGAAAAAGTGTTACAGATAAGTTTTGAAATTTGTTTTTTATTTCGATGAGGGAACGGTTCCCTCCTACTGGTAACCTTGCTGTAAATTTCTAAATTATTGCACTTTATTCTATCAAATTGTTTTATCTGTTTTGTTAAGGGGGAACGGTTCCACTTTAGAAAATTGGTAAGTGATAAGTTTTGAAATTTATTTTTTATTTTTATGAGGGAACGGTACTTGTAACATGGCTCTAAATTTCTAAATTATTGAATTTTATTCTATCAAATTGTTATATCTATTTTGTTAAGGGGGAACGGTTCCACTTTAGAAAATGTGTCGTAGTTAAGTTTTGAAATTTGTCTTTTATTTCGATGAGGGAACGGTTCCCTCTTACTTGTAACCTTGTTCGTAATTTCTAAATTATTGCATTTTATTCTATCAAATTGTTATATATATTTTAAGGGGGAACGGTTCCACTCTAGAAAATGTGTCATAGATAAGTTTTGAAATTTATTTTTTATTTCGATGAGGGAACGGTTCCCTCTTACCGGTAACATGGCTCTCAATTTCTATATTACTGCATTTCATTCTATCAAATTGTTATACATGTACCAGTTTTGTTAAGGGGGAACGGTTCCACTTTAGAAAATTTGTTATAGATCAGTTTTGAAATTTATTTTTTATTTTGAGGAGGGAACGGTTCCCTCTTACCATTTACATGGCTCTAAATTTCTAAATTATTGCATTTTATTCTATCAAATTGTTATATCTATTTTGTTAAGGGGGAACGGTTCCCCTTTAGAAAATATGTTATGATAAGTTTTGAAATTTACTTTTTATTTCGATGAGGGAATGGTTCCCCCTTAAGCATAATGTATCTCTTATTACTGAAAAATTGCTTTATATTTATCAAAACATGTTGTATTCTGTACATGGCTTTTGTTCTTCGGGGGAACGGTTCCCCCGAAAACATTTGCAAAAGAAACAAAAAATAAAATTTGGATGTTTACTTTAGCTGTTTGTCTTTTACTTTTCACAAAACAATACCATTACTTTAGCTGAAAATAATGTAAAAATAGTGCATTAAAAAGGGGAACGAGTGTATTTCCCCTTTTTAAAATATATCGAGTTACACCAAGTTTTAAAATATGATAAGGTGACAACTTTTAATGACTTTTCAAACCATAATTAACTGATAAAACACAGACAACTGTGACAGACAATTTCATTCTACTTTGTGTCAAAAGATATATCTAAAGGCAACAAAATCTCAAAAATGTGTTTCGGTACCATTTATTTATTTTTTGGCAAATAGATTGTAATAATTTTAAATTGCAATGACATGATATTTCTTTCTTCTCTAATGTAATACAATTTTTTATTTCTTATCACAAAAT